GTCAGTGAAATTGTTGAAGTTTGTGTTTGTGTGAGTGTGTATAGGACACAGTCTGTTTGTCAATGTATGTGTGTGAATGGGTCAGTCTGTGTGTGAGTGTGTGGGTCAGTGTATTTGTGTCATTGTATGTGTGCGCATGGGTCAGTGTTTGTGTATCAGTGTGTGTATGTGTGTGTGCATGGGACAGTGTGTGTGTGTATGGATCAGTGTCCTGGTATCTGTGTATGTGTGTGCATGGGTCAATGTCTCTGTAACAGTGTGCACGTGTCTATGGTCATACCAGTCAGTGTGTGTCAGGGAATGTGTGTATGGATCGGTGTTTGTGCGTCATTGTGAGAGCTGGTCAGAATTATTGTGTGGGTGGACTTAGGGTTCCATGGAAACAGGTATGTAGTGGCTATTGGACAAACTGTCAAAGGAGATCAAAGGCTTTCCCTGGTCAGTCACTGTAGGGCTGATGCTACTCAAGAGAGTGGGCTTCACAGCCAGTTGGGAAATCAGAGATATCCCTCACCGGCCAGCCCACACGTATGTCGTCAGGAGAGATTAGGGAGGGATTCCCTGCTCTTACTTCCATATAAGAGCATTCCTGCAGGTTACCACAGCAATGCTTTGATGTTTTCCCCAACACCAGCTGGGGTGCAAACTTGGTGCCTTTCACACTGGACTCCCATGGTACATAATACCCCCAAGGTAAGCCACAGAAAGGTGGGGATACATGTTAGGTTTTTAAAATTAAAATATATATTATTTTTATACTTGCCCCTTGTTGCCCACACACTACCGCTTGTATCTCCCATATATGACAGCCCTTATCCTCAATGTACTCTATGGCATGGGTGTCCAAGCCGGGCAGAGAGGGAGGCAGGGAGCTCATTCAATGGTGTAGGGGGCAGCAGGAGGAGGATTACGGAGGTGCGCAATAATGCGCTGTCCACATGCTCTGTCCTCACGGTGTTCTGAGCAGAAGCGCTCTGACACTCTGTGCGTGCGGCGCCACGGCGGGAGAGTCTGGAGTCTGGAGCAGCAGGGAGCAGCAGCAAGCAGGCGGGGGAGCAGGGTAAGTGCTTGCTAATATTGTTGTGTTTTGTTTTTTTGTTTAAAAGTGTTTATTTTTTTTGCAAGGGTCTTGAGAGAGAGCAGGCTTTATTGTGAATGGGTTTGTAGGAGGAAAGGGTTTTTTTTGTAGAGGGGGGACAGGGGTCTTTGTAGAGGGGGCAGTTTTTTTTTTAAATGCGGATGCAGAGGGTTTGTAGGTGGTGGACAAAGGACTTGTTGAGGGGGTGAGCAGGGGTTATTGTGGAGGGGTGGGCAGGGTTTATTGTAGAGGGGGCATGAATTATTTGTAGAGGGGGACTTGGCAGGGGATTTTGTAGAGGGGGGACTGGGCAGGGGATTTTATAGAGGGGGCAGGATTTTTGTAGAAGGGGAACTGGGCAGGGGTTTTGTAGAAGGTGGGGGGTTGTAGAAGTGGGACTGAGAGTGGATTTTGTAGAGGGGGACTGGGCAGTGGTTTTTGCAGAGGGGGGACTTTGCAGGGATTTTGTAGAGGGGGGACTGGGGAGGGGATTTTGTAGAGGTGGACTGGGCAGGAGATTTTCTAGAGGGGTCAGGGTATTTGTGGAGTGGGGCAGGGGATTTGTAGAAGGGGGACTGGGCAGGGATTTGTAGAAGTGGGATTGGGCAGGGGTTTTGTAGAAGGGGGACTGAGCACAGGTTTTTGGAAAGGGGGCAGGTGTATTGTAGAAGGGAGGGTTTCGAAGGTTTTTTTTATTGCCTACTACTGTTGTAGTAGGCATTAAAAAAATAAGAATTAGAAAACATTAAAACATTTTTTACAAAAGATAGTGGATTTTTTTTACATTTAAATTGGGGGCATGAATTATTTGTAGAGGGGGACTTGGCAGGGGATTTTGTAGAGGGGGGACTGGGCAGGGGATTTTATAGAGGGGGCAGGGTTTTTGTAGAAGGGGAACTGGGCAGGGGTTTTGTAGAAGGTGGGGGGTTGTAGAAGTGGGACTGGGAGTGGATTTTGTAGAGGGGGACTGGGCAGTGGTTTTTGCAGAGGGGGGACTTTGCAGGGATTTTGTAGAGGGGAGACTGGGGAGGGGATTTTGTAGAGGGGGACTGGGCAGAAGATTTTCTAGAGGGGTCAGGGTTTTTGTGGAGTGGGGCAGGGGATTTGTAGAAGGGGGACTGGGCAGGGATTTGTAGAAGGTGTGGGGTTGTAGAAGTGGGATTGGGCAGGGGTTTTGTAGAAGGGGGACTGAGCACAGGTTTTTGGAAAGGGGGCAAGAGTTTTGTAGAAGGGGGGTTTCGAAGCTTTTTTTATTGCCTACTACTGTTGTAGTAGGCATTAAAAAAATAAGAATTAGAAAACATTAAAACATTTTTTACAAAAAATAGTGGATGATTTTTTACATTTAAATTGGGGAAGCTCTAGGTACACCTCTGAGCCCATTACATTCTGTGCTCCTCCAGCACAACTTCTTCACCTGTTTTCCTATGGGGAGGTCTAATGGGCGCGTACGGCCATTGCCGCGCATGCGCATTAGGTCTGCCCCGCCAACTGATGACGGCAGGGGAGGAGCATTGGCGGAGCCTGAACCAGCACCAAGGGATAAGGTAAGTCACTGAAGGGGTTTTAACCCATTCAGCAACATGGGATGGAGGGTGAGAGGGGTAGGGACACTGCAGGAACTTGCAGTGCCAGGAAAACAATATTTTTTGGCACTGGAGAGTCCCTTTAAATATGCCAATCCCACACAAGGATAACAAATAAGGGAGTTACTTCTAAACAATTGAAATATCAAAATTAAGAAAAGGGTTTTTAAAGATATATTACTTGTATACATTATCTATAATCTATATGATATATTTGATGTGTGGCCCAAGACAATTCCTCTGCGCTCAATGTGGCCCAGGGAAGTCAAAAGGTTGGACATCCATGCTCTATGGCCTCAATTCTCCCCACAAACTTCTGCCCCTAACAATCACAAACAATACACCTCCTATTCCCACACAAAACAGTCCTTATCGTGTCCACATACTACAACCCCTATTCCATACACACATACACCACATCCTCTAAACCCTACACATACACTATAACTTCTAACGCCCACACATACACTACAGTTTCTAATTCACATTCGTGCACAACAGGCCCTAAACCCCCATACACTACAGTCACACAGCAGACACTTGCAAATTGCATATCCTATATCCCCTCACACAGAAACACACTACACCAACAACCTTGTTTACACAAGCACACTACAATGCAAACAGCCCCATTCAAATACACACAACCCTACAATAAGTCTAACTTTTCATGCAACCCCTCAAGCAGCCTCTTCCCACACACATATTAAACAAAGCGCAAAATACACACACACAATCCCACCTGCAGCCACAACCACCACCACAAATAATCTACCCCACACACAACAACACAAGCAGCCTCTGCTCTACATTCAACCCTATGCACATAACTCCAAAAGAAGAATCCTCAAACACACAACCCCTCAAGTTGCCTCCTCACAAATACATATAACACCAGAGGTAATCTACTACACACATTCAACTACACAAGCAGGCTCTCCACACACAACATCACAAGTAATCTACCACAAAGAGCACCACAGGTGGCCAAACCCATACCTGCAACCTCACTAGCAGCTTTCAAACACATCCAAACCAATCGGTTTGGATTGAATATTTGTCCTAATCGAGCCTTGATGGAAAGCTAAAGTTTTCGTAGCGGAGTGTATTTGGGGGTACAAATAAAAGACTTATTGTGGGAGACTTCCATGGTAGGGAGCACAATGTAGTAGTTATCCCACATTTTGATGGTAAACTGTCATAGTACAGTTTAGCAACTTGTTTCAGTCCCCTGGGTGCTCAAGTTGCATCTGTGATTCCTTGAAAGGAAACGCTCAAAGGCAGTGAATAAAAAAGCAGGGTTGGAGAATTGTCCTAGATTAAGGAACAACTTTTCACATTGGCTGCAAACTTATGAGCCTATTTACTAAACTGTGAGTTATGATGAGTTGAGAAGCTGACTTTAAGCTTTAATCCAAAATAGTAGAGCTGGAAAAATTTCCCAAATAAAATATTGTGGCTGTAAGTTTACAAGTTATGTTTATCTCATCAAAACTCCCCCTGGCTCTAATTCCACCTATCTTGTTAACTTGACTAGTAGAAAAAAGGTACAGTTGTGATAAAATTGATGCAAAGATGATACCTTTATTAGCTAACTGAGATAGTTTTCTAGGTATGATTTAACAAAGAAATGGTATAACTTGACAACTTGAATAACTTAAATAGAAAACCTCCAAATACATTAAAATAGCAGTCAAATGAGCATGGCTTTGTTTGCCACTGTCCATACCTCCCATTTCCAATTTCACACCTCCCATGGGGCCAATTTCTTACCTTCAGGCCCCAGTTTCCTCCTTATTCCCAAGGAATGTGTCTTTCCTTCAGCCTCAAGGGCTCCCTCTCACGCCCTAGAGTACTCAAATGCCTATGGAATATGTTTTCTTCTTCCGGAATGTCTCTTACCATAGGTCACCAACTGACACCTGACTTTCATTGTCTCCCACCTCTTCTCAAAACCCATGTTAGCACATGCACAGTCTTTGAGAAGCATAAGTCTATACAATTTTTTATTTTTGAATCTAGAAACACCCACGTTTTAGCGACATTTTAAGAAAATCAACGAGAAGCCTGCATTTGTAGTGTCTTATAATGAAACCATAATGCAGTGCCTTAACCCAGTGAATATTCACAAGGTATCGAATGTAAGCTTCTGGGATCATTGAAATAATTCAGTATAACATTATAAAGCATTAAACAAAAATTTAGAATATTAGAACATTTATTTAGTTTGCAGCATACAAACCTTTTATAATTAGCAACAAACTTAATCTTTTCTTTAAAGTGTACAAGTAAAATGTTTTGAAAATAAAAAAAGAGTAATTGATTTAATAAAATATTTTCCTAAAAGTGGGTTGAAAAAAGGCAAAGATTGTCAAAATTGCAGGTTTGGAAAAAAGAGATCCAGGGAGCCAATGTCGTCTGCCTGACTCTAAGTAACCTTATTTTATAAACCAATGTCATTTGGCTTCAATGTATGGTTTCAATATACAGTTAAACACATTAGCCATGTTTATGTCCCATATTGTGATGTTTCATGTACAAAGACAACAATTTGTGTAATTGTAAACTGTAAATCCATACAATTTCTGTTTATTTAATTAGGCTCATCTAATTAGAGTTCTTATTTAAATTAAATCTTCCCTTAATCAATCGTTGTCTCTATCCCACAGTAATACAGTAATGCCTGTGACATAAGAGACTGATGGTAAAGCTCATATGCACCTCCTCAATCTTGATTATAAGATCAGATGTATGAGTTTAATCCATTGATGAGGTTAGTATAACCTGCTCTAAACTGGATTAAATCATTCCTTCATAAAAACATGAAAACTGAGTGTTGACTGAAACAGAACCAGTTTGTAATGTACCTCTCTTTCTCAAATGCACGCATGCACATACACACTCGCACGCACCCACAAACACACACACATACACACAAAGAGTAAATTTTTAGGGATTGCATTGGGCCTAGCAGACCTGAATAGCCATTGTTCTTGGATAAAGAGACAGGTCACCGTTGCTGTTCAATAACTAAAATTAGCCCATGTTCCTAGAAACCTGAGGTTCTACAGTCAGGGCCGCCACCAGAAATTTTGGGGCCCCTAACTGAGCTCAGGGTCTGGTCCCCTGGGGCCCGCCCCCAAGACCGCCCACAGGGACCGCCTCCAAATCCGGCCCACAGGAATACACACACAGACACAAACACATTCACTGATACAAAAGGACACAGATACACACACACACATACTAATACGCATATAGGCATACATACTGACACACACATACTGAGACATACACACATATAGAGACACACAGGCGTACATAGTGACAAACAGACACACACTAACATACATACAGACACACATGCATAAGTACATACAGACACAGACACATTCATAATGACATACAGACATACAGACATACATTCATACTGGCATACATTCATACAGACAGACATACATGCATACAGACACTGACATCCATACATACACACATTCATAATGACATGCAGACATACATACACTGACATTCATACACACATAATGATATACATACAGACAGACAGACATACATAGACACAGACATACATACATACAGACAGACATGCATACATACATACATACATACAGACATACATAGACATACATACAGACATACATACAGACAGACATAGACATACATACAGACACATACACACAGCTCATTTTCCAGCCACCCTCCTGTTTCTTACCTTTTCGTTGCAGGAGGGTGGCTGGGACTGATGGGAGTAGTCGGCTGACTCTCCCTCTTCATTGCAGGCCGCGCGCTCCTCCCGCGCGGAGTGAACTGGGAGGAAGTGACCACTTCCTCCCAGCAGCACTTGCTGCGGCTGCTTTTTTTTTTTTTTATACCACGACCACAGCGCTGACCGGGCCCCTGAAGATATAGGGCCCATGCACTTAGGGCCACCCGATGGGCCCCATCAGCGTGCGGCCCCGGTGCAACTGCACTGGCGGCAGTTCCGCCGCTACACATTGGGCCTGGTTGTGCCTCTCTTCCACTACCCCCTCCCCTGGTGGTCTCTCCCACTCCCCCCTCACCTGGTGGTCTCTCTCCCACTCCCCCCCTCCTCTAATGGTCTCTTCCACTCCCCCCTCCCCTGGTGGTCTCTCCCTTCCCTTGTGTGCCTCCTACCTCAGTGTAGCGTGGCCGAGTGGCGCAGACCGCGGTACAGGAGTTCTGTTTCCTGTACCCGGCCGGACTGACAGGAAGTGCTCACTGAGAGAGCACTTCCTTTGAGTCCGCCAGGAACAGGAAACAGAACTCCTGTACCGTGGTCTGCGCTTCCTGCCCATGCTACACTGAGTGACAGGTAGGAGGGAGCGCTGTGCGACTGCCAAAGTCTCCTATAGGACGCGCCGGCCCTGAGCTCACCCAGAGTGACCATTGGGTTCTTGGTCACCTCTCTTACCAAGGTCCTTCTCCCATGATTGCTCACTTTGAACTGGCAGCAACATCTAGGAAAAGTATTGGTCTTTCCAAACTTCCTCATTCATGAAGGCCACTGTGCTCTTGGAAACATTCAATGCAGTCAACATGTTTTTGTAGCCTTCCCCAGATCTGTGCCTCGACCAAGTCCTGTCTCTGAGCTCTGTTGACATTTCTTGTGATCTAATTCTTCGGTTTTTACTTCGATATGCATTCACGGCTGTGAAACCTTAATTAGACACGGTGGGTGCCTTTCCAAATAATGTTCAATCAATGGGAGGTGGACTCTAGTCAAAGTTTAGAAACATCTAAAAAAAAAAAGAAAATGGTTGGTGTCATAGCAAACGGTCTGAATACTTATGTCAACTGACAGTTAGTCTCTATAGTCCTCCCAAGTTCTTTGCAGGGTGTGAAACAGAGATGATGATAGAGACTGTCAGTTTTCCATTCCATTATTTTATTAAAACATAGTTTTGAGGTAACAGTTGTCATTTAACTCAATGGGATTCCCAGGTCAGTATGCCAAGTATATAATTTCAATGCTGTATAGACATCACTATTACTATAATAAACCTGCAGCAAATGTTAATTTGAAATGAAACCTTTCTTAAGCTTCCAAACTATTGCACACATATCCTTCTATAATATAGCAGATTTAGGGCTATTTTGAATATCAATGACAGATATTCATTTTCCAATTATTTGCAGTACAGTCTTTCCATTTGCTATTGTGCTTGGAAATATATATGACTGATATTTAGTTTCTGCTGTATTTTTAAAACCACTGTCAGCCAGAAGCACATAACTCTATCATCAAACTTGTGTGCCTTCACCTAACATAAAGAGAACAAACTACCCATAATTCTCAGAATGCCTGGTCTGTGAAAATGGCTGACTGAGCAGCATGGGAGCTGGACTTTAATAATGACTGAAGTCTACTGATGCGTAAGTTCAAATGTTTTGTGGCTTTCCTACCCCTATAATGAAATACTATAAGAAATTCAAAGATGCCAGACAATGGATTAACTTGGAAAAGATGCTTAATTTTAAATAAAGTAGCAACAGAACACATAGTCTCTTCCAGAGTACAAATTCCCTCAGAGTATTTCAGACTCAAATAATCTGCCAAGCACATCCAATATAAAAGAATACTTTTCAGCTCAGCTTAGCACACAAGTCAGTTCAGCCATTCTTTATGCATGTGTCCATATTAAGCCTGAGTTATTGTCACATTCTGTAAATACACAGCATTTGCATAAGTGACATTCAGCTGAGGATAGAAAAGCCAGACAATTAGTATCCCCTGCTGAGCAGAATGACAACAAGACTGTTCTGCTCTCCCATACAGATAATGAACCCTGACTGGAAAAGGAGAATACAATGAAGAAAATAAGCTTGAAAATGCTACAGACGCAAGAAAAGAGCACAAACCAGGCAATTATTTTAAGCAGATCCACATAAATGATGTCATTGCAAAGAGTTTATTTTTTTATTTATTTATTTTTTAAAGATGTACTATCACATATGGACATAGGCCATGTTTATATTTTCATACGACTAACAAAAATAGCAATTAATTGTTCTTATTTATTTTTTTACAAAACTCTATTTCTGTTTTCAATTTGAATGTAATTAAATGTATTTCTGTACTAAAATAGAAAGGAATTTAAGTCAAATATATGCTAATTCAATAACTTTCCCACAATTCCATTTGTGGGTTCCATCTGGTTTCAGCAATGATGCGATGTATAGTGCATGTCATTGTGATTCTCCACAAAGTGCCTACTGATACTGATATTGAACTTCTGTTGTGTACTTTGAACCAGGTACAGACTGGCCATCAGACAAACTGGCAAATGCCTGTTGGGTCAAATACTTAGCTCCAGTCACTGAAAGTGTTGTTGCAGGTTACCATGTTGGAGCTCAGAGAATAAACATATATTCTGCACTAGCCACAAAGTTCGCTCAGACCACTGGACCACCAAATGTCCCCCCCCACCCATGGCAAAAGGTAACAAAGTGAGGGGGGCACACGCTTATATTTTAATAATTAGTTCATTTTATTAAAATTGTTTTTATATATATATATATATATATATATATATTTTTTTTTTTAAATATCTTGCTCACCCTTGGCTTCCTGAAACCCCTATTCCCTTTACACTCTACTGGCGCTACACACTTCCACAGAACTCCGGTAGATACACATACAGCCTCTATACAAATACATACACACTACATCTAAACACATACATACATACATCCCCTATACCAACAATACCAGTGCTGGACTGGCTAATGGATGTCACGGTGGGATATCTTAGCTTGGGCTGGTCAGACTGCTGGCCGTGCTTTATGATTACGTGTCCTTATTCAGTTCACGTTAGACTGCTGGAAAAAGGTGGGGATTAAAGTTTGTTTCCTTGTTCCATCCCTTCCACCAGTCCCTTGCTTGAACTGATGTTGCTGTCTAAAATCATTGCCTTCCATCCCCTGAACTACTGCTGATGTCTGATTGACCCTCTGCAGCATGAGGGTCAAATATTTGAAGGCTAGCCAGCCACCACATTAAAAAGTTAAACAAATTAAAAGCCTGTGGGGGTCAATAAGACCACCATATTGCTGTAAGGAAGATTTTAAACCTTGTTATTTCCCACCATTTTGCCATGCGGCAGGTAGAGGGACATCTACCAATTTGGTAAAACTAGGGACTGGACAGTCATTGCTGCCCAGACACTAAAATAGACCCCATCTCATGGGGATAGAACCTGTGAAGTATTGCAGGGATCATAGTGTACCCCCGAGTGGCAAGCATTTTCCAATCCTGTAGTCACACCCTATTAAAAATAAATAACCCTACCTACCCACGTTGACCGTTCAGTATTGAGGGGAGACAATAAATATAATACCTGTTAAAAATATATAAATTCTTACCAGTATCATTGGGCATAAGGATGTTTTCTCCATTTATTTTATTAAATAGCCCCCACACGTTGCCAAGGAAGGGGGCAGTGGGTGAACAGTGATCTGTCCACCCCCATTACTTGTTTTAATGTCCCTCATCCAATGTCCATTATTTCACAGCCCTATCCCAATGAATGGGGCTTTTCTAGCAACTGGGCGGCAATGGTTTTAACAAGTTAGTAGTTGGCAGATAGGCGAATAGGGAGGTGTAAACCTCCTTACAGTAATAGGGGTCTGATTGGTCCCATAGGCTTCTATTTATAGCAAGCCCTGGACAGTCGCCACATAATTAAATCTCGCGCCATCGAGGGTTATTTAAGTATTTGTCCTCAGACTGCTAGAGCTGCCGGCAAGCCACTAGTTCAGATGTTTTTTTTTTTAAATCCAGGCAGTGGATTTGGTCCGATTTCAGCTGTCTGGCTGTGGAAGTTGATTCAATGGCATTATTCTGCAAGGGTTTGCATAGTCAATAAACAAGTTACCTGAAAAAAAAAAATAAAGTTCATGCAAAAAATAAGAATAGCAAGTGGAAATGATAATACAGCTTGTTGATGTATATTTATGTTTCAGTGGTGAAAGTTTTTTGTGGTACCTTTCTAGTTTACCTAGCAAAGCCTGTTCTATACTGTGCATCATATGCATGGTTAGTATCTGCATGATACTGTAGGTAAACTAAGGTTCTGGGAAATCACGTGGCATACCATGCAGAAATGTTTTTATAGTGATTTAATTGTTCCTAATGCCGGACCTCAGTTAACCTTACATGAGTGTCTTAAATTGGGAAAGGAAATCATGACATATGGTAAGTAAAATGGAAATTGTTTTAGATTGGGAACTTGGCATGACAAGTTTACAAAGTAAAAAGTAATGGAAAAAAGATAAGATATAGACATTATGATTTTTTTTTGGTGGAATAAATCTATTTTAGAGGACTAAATTGAAGGGTTTGAATAGATTTAGACAAAAAACTCAAAAGTGAAAATAATTCTACTAGGAGTCTACATAGGTTCACCTCTGCATGCCCTTCCAGCACTGGGAGTGTTGGTATATGGGATGTAGTGTGTATTTGTGGACATGGAAATGTATATCTCAACCATTTTAAATAAATATATAATAGTTAATACCATTATTAACCATTATTAAAACTATGACTTGAGTCCTCACTTTCTGCTAAAAAAAAATAAGCATCAATTAAAGAAAAACTATAGTGTTAGGAGAGCTGTATTCCATATATACTACTATAGTGCCCTCTACTCCACCCCTTTGGTGACCTCTCTGTGGCACATAAAGGGAAAAAAAAAAACGTTTATTCACTTACCCGATTCCAGCGCTGATGTACCTTGGTGATGGGTACGCGCTCCACCTCTCACGTCAGCCACAGGATGGACCTAATGCAGCGCCCGCATATTAGCCCTTCTTCATAGGAAAGCCTTGCCTCCATGCTTTCCTATGAGGCTTTCTCTGACGGTGGATGTCCTCATGCAGTCTTAGTACTGCAATGTAAACACTTCAGTTTAAAATTGCAGGAATAACGGGGACAAGGACACTGCCACCAGACCAATTCAACGAGACTAAGTTATCTGGGTGCCTACAGTGTCTCTTTAACTATAAAACCCTTTAACACAGTATTGTTGAGTTCTGTATAGAGAAAAGAATGGAAACCCAAATGCAAAGAAAAAATAAATTAACATAGCCTGTCTTTGAGAAACATTGGCTCCAACAGAACACATGACCATTTTATACCCTCCTGTCATTAGAGATTTCATTGTGTTTTGCTGGTTGTTTCATATAGTCACATGGCCAATTACTTGAAAGATTTTGTTTCTGACTGGACACATGCATGTCTGGAAACAGGAAGAGTGTTGTATCCTTCTCGATTTAAAAGGGGGAGCTTTCATTATCCCCATTTATTTAGATTTTTGTATTGAAATATTGCAAACAAATGTAGACTATTTTCAGCGAGAATACATTTTTGAAAAGCTATGCTTATTTGACAGTGAATGGATTAATTTGCAATGACCACATTTTTTGCGCAAATTGGACAACAAGAAACTCAATCTATTTTGTTGGAATCATATCCTTGTGGTATTGTATATCCTAATAAACCCACAAGGACAAAAGTACAGTGAGGAATTTTCGAACATCTTGCCATCTCCACAGTTACCGCAGAGCCAGACTATACAAACATGTTATGGAGGAAAGGATACCTTCAGTCTGCGTTTTCATGCAATGGATAGAGTCACTCTGAGATTAATGTACCTATATGTGCTATTTGCTCTGCACTATAGACATTTATGTAAACAGATGTATGTGAACCACTTCTAACTATAATTATATGCAGACTTTGAAAGAAAGGAAAGAAGAATCCATAGTCTAAATTTTTAGGCCGATTTGGCAAAGAACATGTTCCTGTCAAAAGAAAAAAAAAATAGAAATACATTGCCATTGCTAGAAGCAATTTGGTATTTGATGATATTATGTTTCGAAGCCAAACCTACTAATACTTTCCTTCTTTAAAAGAAAAACAAAAATAAACCAGAGACATATGGATGCAGGTCATCTTAGAATGTGTCCGAGAATACTTTAATTATACCTATATTTATACAGTGCCTTGAATAAGTACACTCTTATAGGATGTTTTCATAGTTCGTAGTATTATAGCCTGGAATAAATTCATATTTTTTTACCATTTGTTTTACACAAGATACATAAGAATCTATTGCAATATATTTTTATTGTGATGAAAGAATGTTATTAAACAATAAAAAACACATATTGATTGCATAAGCGTTCCCCCTCCCATAAATTAATCTACAGGTAGAACCATCTTTGGCAGCAGTTACAAATGTGAGTTTTTTAGGGTTAGCCTCTACTATATATTTAGTGAAAAATTGCTCTGTGTATAAAAATTGGCACTTAAGATAAAACTATTCAAAATGCCAAACTATTAGCTGCTACAACAGATCTCTCTAATCCACCAAGTATTCAGATAAAGAAAAAAAAAGGGAATTAAAAGGAAGTTAAAATGAAACATCCACCATTAATCCCTTGTTTTCCTGACACTATACAACTCTTAGGTCCCTCCCACCTGCAGGGTCCCCCTCCCTTGGCGCTGGTGACCTCTCCTCCCACTCTGACGTTGGCTACCGAGTGGAGCGGAATGCGCATGCGTGGCAAGAGCCGTGCGCTCATTCAAACAGTCCATAGGAAAGCATTTCTCAATGCTTTCCTAAGGACTTTCTGCACACTGAATGCGATTTTCACATCCAGCGTTGCAGAAGCGCCTCTAGCGGCTGTCAGGAAGACAGCCACTAGAGGCTGGATTAACCCTGCAATGTAAACATAGCAGTTTCTCTGAAACTGCTATGTTTACATCTGAAGGGTTAAAAAATGGGGGACCTGGCACCCAGATGACTTCATTGAGCTGAAGTGGTCTGGGTGACTATAGTGTCCCTTTTAAGTGGAGTGCTGTATACAAATACTTACCCCTTAATATAGGGGACATATATAAAAATGGAGAGAGAAAATTCTAATGGTGAAGTATGTTAAGTACTGTATAGCTAATACAAAAATATATAAAGAACAAACTCACAAATAAAGAGCCAAGTATAGGACTGGCTCAAATCAAAACCACTTTGGTGTATTAAGGTGACACCCTCCCTCTTCTTCTTTCTTTCCTTGTATGCTCAAAGGAAAACACAGATAAATTGCTTCTAGTGTAGTAAGCCAGATATTATGTATGGGTGAATAAACCAGATAGTAATTTGCTCACCTTTTCCAATGCCAATATAGATAACCTGGCTCTGGGTAGAAAAAACATATTACCCACTAAAGGGGGTAAACCTTCTTGTTGGAGGTAGATGGGGTCTGCAGCCAATGGGACTTTAAAAATCCAGTGGATAAATTTATTAAAACGTAAAAATACACATAAATATACAAAACAATAAAAAGTGTCCTCATACAGGGCTTGCTTGCTTCGAGGCGCGTTTCGCCCTTTCCTCGGGCTTTCTCAATCGAAGTTGTCAAATTTCCTCTCATTTCCTTTTAAATCCATGTCCCACTCCATTATTAGTCCTGCTGTTCGTTTTTTGTCCAATCAGGCTCTCAAGAAATGTGGGCGTCTTGTCAGCAGCTGGTTCCACTCAACAATCCGATTCCCGTAAGTTTAAGTTTCAGATCAGCCGCACCCTGTGGATTCTACACTCACAAACTCCAAATACTTGTCCAGCTGTTCATTCACAGTTTCTTACTTTTTGCAGTAAAGGATGTAAGCCTGTCATCAGACTACTGTGCATCATCCTATATGTAATCATCACTGCATATCTCTGTATCTTTTTTTTTTCTGTTCTTTTTCTATCGCTGTATGATTTTATAAATGTCTGGGTTATATCTATAACAAAATACATTATTTGGTAAGAAATTATGCATACAACTTTATATTTTAAGTGAAAACCAGTAATTCTTCTACATTGCTCACTATTAACAGACTGTTGTGGAAACTCAAAATGTTTGCTTCTATGTTTTTATATATAATTGCCAAAAGCCTTTCTTTTCAATAATTCAACAAAAAGCACACTGAGGAAAAAATATAATCTAAAACAAAACAAAAAGAAAAACATATACTTTTTGCTACCACATCATTTCTGAGGAAAATTGCCTAGAATATAAAGCCACACACATCATTTTTAAAGTGAATGCCATTTGAAACCTATAAAAAGTAAAGCTTTGATTACACTATTTTAATGATCCAGTGCTTGAATTTTATAGAGTGCAATTTAACCACTGTCTGACACTCCCAAACTGTAGAAAAATATTCAGAAACTCACAAAGAAAGAAAGACATGAAAAGTGAGCATAATTTTTGTTACAAAATGTTTAATCAGATTATTACACAAAAATTCCCATCTATGCATCAAAACAAAACAAAATAGCACACTGACCACAGTCCACTCTTTCAAATACTTGGGTATGTTGTTAGACCCCAATCTATCTTTTGGCCTCCACATAGAAAAACTTGCATATAAACTGTCGCTGGAATCCAAATGCACCCTTCATCTTTCCAGCCTTGTGTTTAAGAGCTTTTCTGGGAAGCTCCCACCCTACCTGAGCAGAATGCTCTCCCCAGCTGTTACCATCTCCTATAACCTCCAATCCAGTACCAGCACTTTATTTAGTCTACCTCAATACAAAAAGAAAGCGTCTCGATCCTCCTTTTCCTACAGAGCGCCGAAATTATGGAAAGACCTCCCGCACATTTTCAAATTTTCCCCAGGCCTAAAATCCTTTAAGAGATCCCACTCTACATATCTCAAAACAGAATGCACCTGTCATGGTTGATTATATATTTCCGACCTGTTCTATGTTAAATTTTGAATGTATTGAGTATTAATATTGTTTTTGTATTTCATTGTACCCTATTGTATCAATGCAATGTTTTGTGGACCCAGGACATACTTGAAAATGAGAGAAATCTGAATGTATCCTTCCTGGTAACATATTTTATAAATAAATAAATTTGCATCCATTCTCTCCCCAGGCTTAAAACTACCAGTATTCTTCCTGTGGATATCTTTCTGAGTCACACCACTAGTATGCCATATTAAGTAAAATGTCAGATTAGAAGGCGCCAGGTATGTATTATGTAGACATAATAAACTCTGAGTTTCCCCACATTAGTTGATAACTGTATTCACGTTTGGCAATTATCTTAGCTTGGTTTTACTACAAATGAAAATTAACTTCTATTGAACATTATCCCAAATTCTGTTTTAAATCTAAGGCAAACTGCTGAGTTTGACTGGACCTAGTAGGAAATAAAACCTATTTTGGTTATTCATTAGTTAAATTACATTTCTGTAAACTTATCTAATGGTATGTGTAAATACATGTTAAAAATCAATAACTGTCACCTAGACACCCCAGCCTTGTTGCTTCATAAAACTATTGTTAATAGCTCAGATTTAATTAATACAGGACATTTGGTCTTTGCAAATAATACTAATAGTCAAACAGTCAAAGAAATAAAATAAAAAAATGTATTAATCACCAGAGCCACCATCAGGGGTACAGATGATACAGCTTAACTGGCAGGTACTTCCAAATGTGCATATATACAGTTGCAATCAAAAGTATTTGTGGGGGGGGGGCCAAGCCAGCAAGCTGAGAAGTCGCAGAAAAGCTGGGCTCCCGCTGTACTTGCCAATTTCTTGTTAAAAACTCTCTAAATCGAAGCCTAAAGAATCTGGGATGAGCCACCTACAACAGGGGCAACCCGGCAGCAAACCTGAAACCCTTACTGAGTGCTCGACGAATCGGACGCCCGGAATGGAAAGTCGCTGCTAGCGGGGGACGGGAACGGGGAGAGGCGGCCGCTGTCCTCGCCCAGACACTGGAAGCACGGCCCCTCAGATGCCCTCCTTCCCTACCAGGACTGGCGGGGGTTATCCTGGTCCAACGCGGAGAAGCAACCTACCCTCAACTCCACCAACAGAGACACCTGGCGAGCAGTGGAGCGACATGAAGCGAGACAACATGGCCGCCGCCACGTGCACCTGGCCTGCAAGGAATGCGGAGCTTGAAGCAAAACTGGACGAGCTGTTCGCCAAGTTCTGGACGGAGCTGGCGTCCAGGGAGCAACAGGCAGGCACAAACATACCTGCAAAGCAGCTGACACTCACCCGCACAGAGCCGGCGCCACCGCGAGCTCCAGCGACACGCAAGGTGAGCCACAGCCAGCAGACACGTGGAGCCTACGGGCCGAAGCGACAGCAACTGCCAACAGCAGTGGCAAACCACAAAACCCACCCGGCGAACTCTACTCAGCATCCAAAGCACCCACAAACGACGCTGAGGAGACAGCACACCACCAGAGACAGGAATGGGGGGCGGCTGAAGCTATCTGCACAGGCCGCGCCAAAACCCATACGCCAACTAGGAGCAGAGGCAAGGGCCTTTCCGGGCACACTCCTGTGCAAACCCCAGGCCATCTGCCCGACGCACCTCACAGCACGGGGAGACCACGCTGTTACCAGGCCCGTGCACACTTCTTCCCAGGCCGTGCACACTTCTTCACCTGGAGGTAACCCTCCCACGCCACCCATACACCCGAGGGGACAGCCGAGCTCCGGCGGATCCTTGGGCCCACAACCCTGTTGATGGGGTCAATAAACATGTGGCAAGTGCCCCTGCTAAGGCCTCGGGCCGAAGACACACGGCACCTGGACGATGGGCACCCAGGAAGTACGGGGGGAGAGCCGCAATGCGGGGAGCCGGGTGCCTGGTGGGCTCGGACAGACACAACAACAAGGTCACCACAATGGGCCAAGGAACAGTCTACCTCCCAAAACACACTAGTGGCATCGGGTGAAGTGCCCCTGCAGCCCACACCTAAGCTCCTAGCCTAGACACCATGCAGGACTTGGGACGCTCTCACATTACTGTTACTATATGCAGGGCCGCCACCAGAAATTTTGGGGCCTCTAACTCAGCTCAGGGTCTGGGCCCCACCTCCCCCGCCTACAAATACCTCCCACAGGAATACACACACAGAAACAAACACACACACTGATACAAAAGGACACAGATACATACTAACAGACACACATACTGAAACAGACATACACGCATACAGGCATACATACTGACACACACATACTGAGACATACACACATATACAGACACACAGGCATACATAGTGACAGACAGACACATATTAACATACCATACAGACACACATGCATCTGGACATAAAGACAAATAAATACATACACACTGACATACATACATACACACATACATTCATACATACTGACAGACATACAGACCCTGACATCCATACACACATACATTCATAATGGCATACAGACATACACTCATAATGGCATACATACAGACATATATACAGACTGACATACATGCATATATACAGACATACCGACAGTCATACAAGCATAGAGACATCCATACACACATACACACAGACATACGTTCATAATGATATGCAGACATACATTCATACTGACATACAGACATACATATATACATACATTGACATACATACAGACAGACATACATGCATACAGACATACATACATAGACATACATACATAGACATACATGCATACATACAGACACGTACATACAGACTGACATACAGACAAACATACAGACAGGCATACATACATACATACAGACATACATGCATGCATACATACAGACATACATAGACAGACATACATACATAGACATACACACATAGACATACATGCATACATACAGACATACAGACAGACAGACATACATACATACATGCATGCATACATACAGACATACACAGACAGACATACATACATAGACATGCATGCATACATACAGACATACATACAGACAGACATGCATGCATACAGACATACATAAAGACAGACATACAGACAGACATACAGACATACATACAGACAGACATAGACATACATGCATACAGACAGACAGACATACATAGACGTACATGCATGCATACAGACATACAGATAGACATACAGACAGACAGACATGCATACATATATACAGACATACATACATACATATACATACATACAGACAGACATACATACATACATAAACAGACATACATACATACACAGACATACATGCATTTACAGACATACATACATACATACATACATAGACATACAGACATACATACACAGACATACATATATGCATACATACACAGACATACATACATGCATTCAGACAGACATGCATACATAGACATACATAGAGACATACAGACAGGCATACAGACAGCCATACATAGAAATACAGACACACACACACAAAGTTCATTTTCAAGCCACCCTCCTGTCTCTTACCTTGTCTTTGCAGGAGGGTGGCTGGGGCTGATGGGAGTAGTCGGCTGGCTCTCCCTCACTGCCGTGACCACTTCCTCCTAGCAGCACTTGCTGCGGCTGTTTTTTTTTTTTAAAGGGGCCCGGTGCTCCCGCGCGGAGTGAGCTGGGAGGAAGTGACCACTTCCTCCCAGCAGCACTTGCTGCGGCTGTCTTTTTTTTTTTTTTTTTTAAATGGGCCCGGTCGCGCTATTACACGGCCACAGCGCTGACCGGGCCCCTGAAGATACAGGGCCCATCGGGTGGCGCTAAGTGCATGGGCCACCTGATGTGCCCCATCAGTGTGCGGGCCCCGGTGCAAGTGCAGTTCCGCCGCTACACGTGGGGCCCGGTCGGCCAGGCCCCCCAGGGCCGCTAGGCCCTGTGACAACTGTTATGATTGTCACCCCCTGATGGCGGCCCTGACTATATGTTTGCCTAGTGCTACAAATGCCAGCTCTCATGTAACTTAGCTTAACTATATACATAGTCTTGCTAGCCGCAATACACAGCGGCAGCTCTATAAACTTGCTTTCCCTTTATGGGCTACTTACTATGTTAGCAAAAGGTACTGGGCTGCCTGAGCCAAAAGTTAACCTAACCTGTCAGCCTATATCTATCTTGTATCCTGCAGGCGCAGGGTACCCACTAGCTTCATCATATATATGTTGCCTACTACCATAGCATGCATCCTTTAGAAACAGTAGCATTGAATATGCAAGCCATAATCTCACGAGACAGTAAGCTAGTGGTTAGATTGAATACATCACAAAAAATCTGCTGCATGTTTGCCCTACAAACATTAATAGTGCTAAACATAATTCTGCTGAGCTTGATTGATTTGTTTAACTTAATGCTGTTTGGTAATCACATGTTAGTACCAGCTGGTACTGCTCAACCTATATGCTCGAGGGGAAACTCCTACAGTGGATAGGTCTCACTCGTTCAGTAGCAACCTAATTCAATACACGTTTATGTTAAGCGACTAACAAAAATAAAAAAATGAGGCATTAACAAACTGGAAATGTAAATAACAATGTTTTCATTACACCAATCTACGTTGTGAAATACCCATGCATTTCCCTCTCTCTATTCTATACCCCATATGTGCCTTAATAAAATAAAGATTGACAAAAAAAAAAGTATTTGTGGCGGCCACTTGGATAGGGACACGGGTCTCGCCGCCAAGGATGTCCTTTTCCCCCCTCTCTGGATCTCCGCTGCGCTGGCTTCAGTGATTATAGCTTTCCCCACAGACATTAGCTGAGACTTAATGGTGGGAGTAGACTGGTTTATTAGGGCATGGTACATGCAATTTATACACAGAGGTCAACAGGGTTAACAAGCCAAGAGGTGGTCTGACTATGGGGAGTATAAAAGGGAAAAATCGGGACTTCGTTCGTTTACCGAACCATAGGGGGAAAATTAACTGACAGAAAATGTTCTGTCACAGTATTTAATCCCCATTCACACACATACACTGCGTCCTTGTGTGCATATTGGGGGCCCAGACAAAATTCTTATGGCAGCTCTGAAAATCACATTAAAAAAAGTATGCAGAACTACATTGGAAACAGATAAAACATATTTAATAAACATATTTAATAAAACGAGACAACCTTAATTTCTAAACTGTGCTCTGTTATATACCAAATGTTAGTTACATAGTTACATAGACTGAAAAGAGACGTGTCCATCAAGTTCAGCTTTTTTCACACCTAAATTAGAGATATGCTGTTTAGCAAAACTTAAACACACAAATAAAAAAAATGTAGATAAATTGATAGAAACAGGGACAAATAGAGACTGTTTTTATTCATGCTATAGTAAAACATGGCCATTATCCAAAAATCCTTGTTATTATATAAAGATGGGATGGTCATTGCTGATCAGAAAGAAAGTGGCAAAACAAGAAGTTTGTGAAAAGAAATGAAAACATTACACTCATCCGCATAAAAATATAGTAAGACTCTTCGAGTTTGCTTAGAATTCGAACCCTGGTAAACAGACTTTTTCAGTTTATGCTGAAAGATTAATCTTTTCCGTCAATATCCACGATTGTATAAGAGGTTAATGTTTTTACTGCTATAGCAAATTGTGTTTTGTCATTGTGTCTTCTTTTTGTGCATTATTTGAGATCTATACCATTTATAAAGGAAAAGGCAATAGCAGTCGATGTTTATGACTGCTTTTATGAGCATTTGTGTCTTTGAAATAAAGTAATACTTTTACAGTGTTGATTTATGTTTCGATTGTATTAGTAATTGCTCCACTAGCCATTGTGAATCAAATGTTTCTGCTACATAAAGAATATAAACATATATCACAGTAATGTCTTACTTATTTGACAGACCCGGGCAAGACTTTTAAAACGGCTTTCAGTGAATCTGTATGTGAAGGCCAACTACAAGTGGTTGTTAGAAAACTTTATTCCTGGCTGTTTTTAAAGTCCTTGTTATTATATTTGGAACATGCACAGGAAAAAGCAATGCTAAGAGCTCAAGCCACATAAACCCTTTAGATCCCTCATTGAATGAATGCATTGCTTTACTGTGTAGATTATTTATCCCTCAGGCTTGAAATAAAATACTTAATATGTACTATTTCAGTGCTAAAGGAGAACCAACAAGGTCTTCAGATACAATTTTGCAAAACATTTTGGGGTTCCGCTATTTTTGTGTGGTCATCAAGAGTGTTTGAATGTTGACGGCTGCCTGTTCGATACAAAAAAGATCAAAGTTACAATTAAAATTAAATAATTTTATAGTGGCCGCTGTCTTTCTGCCACCTTGTAAATAAGAATCCTTTGCTAGGTCATATTATTGAAAACTAATGGGACCACCACTGCACTTCAAGATGCATAAAAGAAAAAAAATCCACTTTAGACAATATTCTAAAAAAAAACTATATTTTATGTAGCCAAAACAAGAAGGTACAAAACATAGACTTACATGACTAATGGGAAACTAGTGATTGATCAGTTTTGCATCCAACCAGCTGAGCCGAGTAGAATTGTAGAGGCTTGCAGTAGGGATGGTATGGAAAATGGGCCTAGGGAGGGAGTAGAGATAAACAGTTATATCAAGGTATTCACAGCCAGACAGGGCAATGAACTGGGAAACTTCAGGGATTTAAATATCCCACCTTTGACTGTGATTGGTCAGAGGGTGACCTCTGACTCCAGAACGTGTGTGTGCATCGACGTCGTGACGTCACACGCACATTCGTGTGACCCTGTGGGGCGGAGCTATCTATGGCCGTGACCGAATGGTCGGTGCCATCTTTATTTTGGGCAGGCGGCCAGGAGAACCCGGCAGAGAGGCTCCCAACTCGCTGCTGAGCAGGTAAGCTCAGTTCGTCGGCACGGTCAGCACCTCGCGGTGAGCCGGGGACCGTGACAGTGCCCCCTACTCGAAGACCACCCACGATAAGGCCTTATGTATCGAGGAGATAGTTTAATGGAAGGAACTTTGAGTTTAATATGATGCGTGGAAAGCCAGACCCTGTCCCCTACTTGATAGACAGGATTGGCACCAAGCCGCTTGTCAGCTTGGACTTTATGCTAAGAGGCTGACTGTAATGCCACATGCACCGAAGCCCAAGTCGCTCGGACAGAGGCTAAACAGGCGTCCAAAGCAGGAATATCAGTGCCCGAAAAATTAGAAGGCAATACAGTGGGGTGATAACCATTATTACAAAAAAGGGGCTAAGATTAGAGGATTCCTGAGTTGCATTGCTTCTGGCAAATTCAGCCATGGGCAAGAGTTCAGACAAGTTTGACTGATGGGCATAAATAAAACAACACAAATAGGACTCTAAGGCCTGATTGCCTCTCTCCGCTGTACCATTGGTCTGAGGGTGATACGAAGAGGAAAAAGAAAGTTCAATGCACAACTGTTTACAGAAAGCACACCAAAATCTAGAAATAAATTGGGTACCTCTGTCGGAAACTATGTTTTTTGGTACCCCGTGTAGCCTATATATATTGGATATATAGGACAAATATTTGGACAAGATCTTGAGAAGATGGCAATTTCTTGAGAGGTATAAAATGCGCGATCTTGGAGAATCTATCCACAACCATGGAGGATAGTGTTATACCAATTGGAATTAGGGAGATCCACAATAAAATCCATGGCTAGATGGGTCCATGGAGTGTCTGGTATCGGAAGTGGCTGTAGGAGGAGATTTATGAGGGGCCTTAGAAACTGCACATATTCAACATACTCCTACGTAGTCCCTGACATCACCCCTAAATGTCGGCCACCAGAATTTTCTAGCAATGGCAAAGAGGGTTTTATGTATCCCAGGATGTCCGGCTGTCAAGTTATCATGGAATAACCCAAGCACTTTAGTCTTTAATGATGGCGAAACAAACAGTTTGTTAGGTGGTCTCTGTGGGTGCGAGTTTGATCTGCTATTATGGCAAATAGGAGTGGAGATGACACCTCAGAAACTGTTGTAGCAACAAGACACTCTGGAGGTACAATCGGGAATACCTCTTGTTTGGGAACCCCATCTGTCTCAAACTGTCTGGACAGTGCATCTGCCTTTCTGTTCTTAGTACCAGGTCTATACATCTGGAGGACAATCTATTAGCATCTCCGATATAAGCCAAGTTCTTGTGATCTGTAAAAATCAAAAGTGGCTCCTTGGAACCCACTAAGAGATGCCTCCATTCGTTGAGAGCAAGAATAATGGCCAATAACTCCCTATTCCCGATGTCATAGTTTTTCTCAGCAGGAGTCAGTTTTCTAGAGAAAACCCCACAGGGATGTAAAGGTGCATCAGGACTCTCTCGTTGAGACAGAATGACCCCTACTCCTGTCTCTGACACATCCACTTCCAAAATAAAAGGTTTAGCAGGATCAGGGTGTGTTAAAACAGGTGCTGAAGCACATGAAAATTTTAATTTATCAAATGCCTCTTTTGCTTCATTGGGCCAAGAATTACATTTAGCTCCTTTTTGGGTAAGGTTGGTGATAGGAGCTATCACAGATGAGAAACCTTTAATGAATCTGCGGTAGTAGTTTGCAAATCCAATAAAGCGTTGTATGGCTTTAAGGCCTTTGGGTAACGGCCATTGCAATACTGCCTCCAGTTTGCGTGGGTCCATCTTGAAATCAGAGGGGGATATAACATACCCAAGACATTGTATTTCAGTCTTGTCAAACTGGCACTTTTCTAGCTTGCAGTATAAGCTATTTTCCAGCAGGGTTTTTAACACTGTTTTCACATCACATGTTCATGATGGGTACGCAAGTCTGGAGAATAGATGAGAATATCATCCAGGTACACCAGCACAAACATGTGGAGGTATTCTCTGAGGACATCATTTATAAAGTCCTGGAATACCGCTGGGGTGTTGCACAAACCAAACGGCATGATCAGGTACTCATAATGTCCCATTCTGGTATTGAACGCTGTCTTCCACTCCTGTCCTTAAGTCTGACTAAGTTATAAGCACTCCTAAGGTCAAGTTTGGTAAATACTCTGGCACCCTTGAGCCTGTCGAATAGTTCGGAAATAAGGCTGATTGGGTAGGCGTTCTTAATTGTTATTTTATTAAGGCCCCTATAGTTAATGCAAAGGCGTAGGTCTCCTTCTTTTTTAGAGACGAAGAAGAACCGAACCGCAGCAGGTGAAGAGGATCTCCGTATGTGGCCCTTCCTTAGAGCATCCTTTATATACATCTCCAAGCAGAGAGTTTCTTGAGGAGACAGCGCATAAACTCCCCCTTTCGGAGGCATAGTGAAACTGAACTTTATTAAAAACCTCTTTTACCCCCAGATATTGTGGTGGAATTTCTGTAGTTAAGTGAGGTGAAGTAGGTACATTGATGGTGCCAAAACTTTGTGGCATAAGGTTCTTACAATGACCCTTGCAATCCTCTCCCCTGTTTTCACAGGCAATCATATGCTTACAAAGTTCTGCAGGATCCATGACCCCGTCATAATGTCACGACTGCTAGTGAGGTCCAGCACGAAGAACTATGTAACATCTACATAAACAGAACAGAAAATGATAGAACGTAAACCGGTTCTCAGAATGGCTGGACTAATACGTTAAAGACAGAGAATGGTCAAGGAAGCCAGAAATATACAATACAGTTTAACAAGCCAAGTCAGGGAAACCAGAAATTAGAATAGTCAGGAATAGCCAAGATCAAAATACCGGGAATATATCAAAAACAGGACAAGAAAACGCACTCTTGGGAACCAGGAACAGAAACCACGACTGCAATGAACTGGGAAAATTTAGGGATTTAAATATCCCTCATTTGACTATGATTGGTCATAGGGTGACCTCTGACCCCAGAACGTGCATGTGCGTCGACATTCGTGTTACCCTGGGGGGTGGAGCTATCTATGGCCGCGACCCCATGGTCTGCGCCATCTTTATTTTGGGCAGGAGGCCAGGAGAACCCACCGGAGCAGCTCCCCACTCGCTGCTGAGCAGGTAAGCTCAGTTCGTTGGTGCGGTTGCACCGGTGGGGTGCGACTGCACCTCGCGGCGAGCCGAGGGCCGTGACATATCCTTCATAATTTTTTTTTTTTTTAACTCCTATCCAGATTATTTAGATCATATACTGCTCAAAAAAAATAAAGGGAACACTTAAACAACACAATGTAACACAATGTAACAAGTCAATCACACTTCTGTGAAATCAAACTGTCCACTTAGGAAGCAACACTGAGTGACAATCAATTTCACATGCTGCTGTGCAAATGGGATAGATAACAGGTGGAAATTATAGGCAATTTGCAAGACACCCCCAATAAAGGAGTGGT